GGCGGCCCCCCGGGTGCTAGTCGGCCGCGTTCCATGGAGAGCGGTCCGGCCAGCTCTCGCCCATGGTTCAGGTAGGCCGGTGTATATCCAGTTGCCTCGTTTCGGGCAATGTTGAACGCATACTGGAGAGCGGGGAGGTGTTTATCCCACCGCCGGTGGTTTCGTTGCACGTATTGAGCTATCATTGTCTTCACGGTGCGATTGGCCCTTTCCACCGGGTTACACTGCGGTGTATAGATCGGCGTTGTCCGGTGGCGGATCCCGAGGCTCTGGGTCATCGTGCGAACGGGTTTCGACACAAATTGTGTCCTGTTATCCGTGATGATGGTGTCGGGGCGTCCGTGCCGGTAGACGATCTGGGCCAAGATAGCCTGGGCCACGGCATTTGCGGTGGCCTGTCGTAGCGGCCTCGTTTCTAGCCATTTGGTAAACCGGTCTTGCATCGTGAGCAGCCACCGGTGTCCCTGGCTGGACCGCGGCAGAGGCCCGACCAGGTCCAGTGACACCTGCTCCCAGGGCGCGTGGACCGCCGTGGCGTGTAGTTTGCCTGCTGTGTGATCCTGGGGGGTTTTATGGCCAGGCAGCTCGGACACCGTCGTACATAACGGGCGATGTCGCGATACATGCCGGGCCAGTAGAACCGTCGGGCGATCCGTGCGATCGTCTTGGCTATCCCCAGATGCCCAGCTGAAGGCTCGTCATGGTATTGGCGCATTATTTCGGGCCGCCGCTCCAGTGGGACACATTCCTTCCTTTGCTCCTGGCTTGGGACCTCGCGAAAGTCGAGGTCGTGTATGAGGTGGCGGAAGAGTCGTCCTTTATCGATGCGATAATCGAGATGCTGTTGTGGTTGCTGGCATACCTGGCCGGCCAATTGTTCGTACCATTGGTCCCGAGCGGGCTGTTTCAGGGTGCAGACTTCGGGTCGCCGGGATAGGGCGTCAGCGACCTGGTTGGCGGCGCCGCGCCGGTACTTGATCTCGAAATCGTATTGCTGTAGCTCGAACCGCCAGCGGCCTAGCCGGCCGGTGGGGGAGTCCATACTGTGGAGCCAGCGCAGTGCCTGGTGATCGGTGACTACGGTGAACCGGTATCCCTCCAGGTATGTCCGCATGCGCCGGATGCCCCAGACGATCGCCAGGCACTCCAACTCGGTGGCGCTGTAGTTTCGCTCAGCGGGATTTAGCGTTCTGCTTGCGTATGCGATGACGCGTTCCCCTTCCTCGAATTGCTGGGTGAGCACCGCCCCCAGGCCCAGAGCGCTGGCGTCAGTCTGTAGCACGAAGGTCCGTGCAAAGTCCGGGCATGCGAGCACCGGGTTGGAGGTGAGGGCCGTTTTTAGCGCCTGGAAAGCCTCCTCTTCCTGTGGGCCCCAGTGCCATCGAGCCGACTTCCGGGTTAACCTGGTACGTGGTGCGGCGGTCCTCGCGAACTGTGGTATAAACCGACGGTACCACGAGGCCATCCCTAGAAACTGGCGCACCTTGCGTATCGTCGTAAAGGTAGGCCAGCTGGCGACAGCGTCCGTCTTCTCGGGGTCGGTTCGTAGCCCCTGTGCGTCCACGACATGCCCTAGGTATCGGAGGCTGTTACGTCCGAACTGGCATTTGGCCGGGTTTGGTCGCAGGTGGGCGGCTCGGAGTCGTCGAAATACCTCCTGGAGGACGCGTCTGTGCTCCTCAAAAGTCCGCGTGGTGATAATAATATCATCCAGGTATACCAGGACATGGGGTTCCAGTTCCGCTCCCAGCACGGTGTCCAGGAGGCGTTGGAACGTGGCGGGGGCGGAATGTAAGCCGAACGGCATCACCCGGAACTGCATTAACCCGCGGCCGGGGACCGTGAAGGCCGTGATAGGGCGGCTGGCGGGAGTTAAAGCCACCTGCCAGTACCCGTTTTTGAGGTCGATGGTGCTCAGGTACCGGGCGCCGCGGAGCTTGTCCAGCGTGGCGGTCACTTGCGGCAGTGGGTAGGCATCTTTTTCCGTGACCTCGTTCACCTTTCGGAAGTCGATGCAGAACTTTCGGCTGCCGTCTTTCTTCCGCACCAATACGACCGGGGAGCTCCACGGGCTATGCGCGGGTTTTATAATGCCTTCTTGCTCCATTTCTTGGACCTCTCGGTCAATGATGCCTTGCATCGCCGGGTTACGGGGCCGAAACCGTTGTTTGATGGGCCGGCTCCCATGCTTCAGTCGGATCTCGTGCTGTACGCAGGGCGTGGGCCCTGGTACTGTCGCGAACTGCTGGAACTCTTCCTCTAAGACTTCCTGCAGCCGGTGTCGCTGGAGTATTGTCATAGGCGCAAGTCCCCCTGCGTCGATGCTCAGGGGTGCGAGACGGAGCGGAGTCGCGGTCGTAGTCGGGACCGCCGGAGGACATAGTGGTAGCTGTAGGCGGGCCCACAGGTCGGCCCCAATGATCATGTCCTCGATCAGGGCCGGCATTACGAAAAAATCGTGGCTGACTACGTGCCGCCCCACTTGCAGCGGCAGCCGCACAGTGCCGGCGAGGGTAACGGTCGCTCCATTCGCTAGCCTGATTTCTTTCTCCTCTAGTCGGGGCGTACAGCGTACTCGCCGCGCCAGGTCGGCGGTGCCGTGATTAATGAAGGAGGCCTCCGCGTCGGAGTCTATAAGGGCCCGTACGGCATGTCCCCGCAAGCGGACGGTGACGAACGGGCGCGGCTCGTATTCTATTTGGACTCCGTCAGGAACCGGAGCTCGGCCTGATATACCCCGGCCCGGGTGGCGTTTCCCGGCCGTGGATGGCACTCTCGGGTCAGGATTCCATCCTTGCCACACTCTGAGCAGAACTTTCGTGCGGGCCGTCTACAGTTCGTTCGCGTATGTCCCCGTTCCTTGCACCTCCAGCAACACTCCTGGCGGTTATAGGCGGCGGCCAAAGTGGGAGGTCGCGGTCGCTCGGGAGGCCGGCGGGTGGAACCGCTGGCCGTGATTGCCTCAAATTCCGCCGTCCGGGAGCCTAGCTCGGGGAGGGTCCTAACATCATCCCGTCGTACGTAAAGTTTGTACTCGGGTAGGAGGCCCTCGTATAGTTGCTCTACCTGTTCGTCCACCTCCAGGCGGCCGGCTCGCCGCATGAGGGTGAGCACCGCTGTGGCGTATTTAGCGTATGGCTCTCCTTCCAGCTGGCGCCGAAGTTGTAGCTCCCGTACTAATTGGGCGCGGTAGCGCCGTGGCAGGTATTGTTCCCGAAAGGCGCGGACAAAGTCATCCCAGTGGGTCCAGCTGGCGCGGTGGTTTCGGTACCACAATAGAGCGTCGTTGCGTAGGAGCTCTGGTAGCCCGGTTAGCATTTGAGCTTTGCTAAGTCCGTATCCCACCTGCAGTTCCTCTATTCGCTCTAGGAAGGCGACGGGGTTTTTGCCGTCGAACCGGCATCCCCATTTCCGGATTTGATTAATCGTATCTACCGCGCTGGAGACCTCGGACGGGGCAGGACTCGGGGCTCGTATCCTTTTACGGTTTGCCTCCTCGGTATTCACGACCGATCCCGGGATCCGGAATTGCTCCGGATGCTGTCCGACGTAGCTGCCCATACTTCGCCTCATCTCGTCCAAGGTGTTTTCCGTGCTGAGGTCATACTCCTCCAGCAGCTCCGTCAGCTGTTCTTTACTCAGGGTGTAGATCCACCCTTTCCTGACTACCCCTTCCATGGCCCCGGGTCTTCCCGGTAGAGCCGCCGTTCCTCTCGTTGCGCCTGATCTTTCTCTCTCTCTCTCTCTCTCTCTCTGATTCTCCTCTTTGTCAAAGTCCTTGTTCGGGCGCCAATGTAACGGGGTCACTTCCCTCGCCTCGTTCTTTTGCTTTCGGTTTTTATCGCTTGGATAAGCTCGCCGGCGTCCAGGGTCGTAATAGGAGAGAGAGATGGCAGTAATGCGCTCGATTTTGTTAACTTACAACGAGAGTTTATTAATTTAGTGTACAGTGAGTGACGTGCATACTGCGCCGAGGCGCGTGCGATCGGTGTTGCCGGTGCAACTCGGAATGGTGGGTGGTGGCGGTCGAAGCCCGACACGCTATCCGCTGAGTTCGATCGGCGGCCGAAACCCGGCACGTCGTCGTCTGGAACTGGTGTGCCTCGAGAGGCTGAGTTCGCGGTGTCACGCTCCCGTGCTGGTCTCCTAGGAGACCGGCGGTGAACTCGTGTCGATGGTTCCGCGAGCCCCCCTTTTATAGCGGCGGCCGCGGAAATTTAACTGCGAGTTGCTGCCTCACCCTCGCGTTCGCGCCGCGTAGCGGCGGCCGGGAGGACTACCGGGCTCCCGGCGTGCTAGTAGTCTAACGGGTGTCGGGCAGCAAAATTAAGTACAGCGGGAGAACGTAACATAAATATATTTTAAATTTCGACAACGGTCGAGAACAATGGAACGAAACAGACTAGTGTACTTGCTTAGGATGACTATGATAGGTTTACTTAAACTAGGAACGAGGTGGGAACGCCTCGTTACAAATGTGATAGTAAGATAGAAAATAATAATAAATATTTTGTTCGCTTTTACTGAAAGTAAGAGTAATTTTTACTTTGTATTGAAAATAAGAATAATTTTTAGTTTGTATTAAAAATAAAAATAATTTTTTCTTTGTTGATTTAATAGTTAATCTAATTACTGAAATTAAATATTTTAGTGCAAGTTAAAATATAACAAAGTATCATTATAATTACAAATGTGTTAATTAGTTAAAATGAGATTAATTTTGTTCGTTTGTATTGAAAATAATAATTTTTGGTTTTTATTGAAAATAAGAATAATTTTGTTTCTTCATTTAACTGTTCATTTATTAAAAAAAAACTAATGACTGAAATATGTATGCAATAAATATATATTTATACAATTATACAAACATGAAATATTTATTTATACTTGTATAATGATCATATATAAGAAATGTATATCATATAATATTACATGTAATACGTATTATACATAAATACTAAACATATCGCATAGGAAGCCTAGCACAAATATAATCCCTTTTAGCAACGCCTGCCTGTTCCAGTCGTACGTTTTCATTAAATGGGTAATTGTCTTCAATTTCATTAATTTCCTCAAGTTCAATATCATCCCTTCGTAATAAGCAAATATTATGCATATTATGATAAACGGTGGAATAAAATGGAGTCTAACCATTGCAAGAAGTGTTCTTATACTACAGAATCTTGTTTTCAGTAATCCGAAAGCTCTTTCAATTGCTATTCTGCTTGACGAATGACAGAAATTAAAGTTTCTTTGTCTAATAGTGAGATGTCCGTTGTCACGATAAGGAACAATGACATTTTCGTGTAACTTATATGCAGCATCACCAAGGATGTGGCAGTTCTGGGGAAATTTATCAGGATCCCCCAACCACTGTTGCAACTCAGATAATCTAAAAACACGTTGATCGTGTACAGAACCTGGGTGTCCAACGTAACAGTGAATAAAATTTGTTCTATGGTCACATACAGCCTAAAAATCAGAAAGAATTATTACAGTCTATTTAGCATGTAAATATTTAGACTACATTGAACTTGCAGTAATTAAAATACGCAATTAAGATTTAAATATACTTTTATTTATATTTGAATATAAGATACACACCTGCAGTTGAATAGAATAATGGCCCTTACGATTTATATACGATACTGGTTCAATAAGAGGTGCTGGAATATTTATGTGAGTACCGTCTATTGCTCCAATTACTTTCGGGAAACCACTGGTAGCTTCAAACCCAGTCCAAACTTCGTTGACCCTATTTCTTGATGGCCATTTAATAATATTTGGTGCCAAATTATAAAGAGCTATTATGACTCTTCGTGTAGCATAAAGAGCAGTGGATCGACTGACATCAAATTTCTCACATATGGACCTGACAAAAAATCATTTGGCAATTGTAGACAAAAAAATTTTATTTAAAATATTTATACTTGTTTTTGTGCTGGATTCTGCAATATTCTACAAATGTATTTCTGAATTTAGCACGAAAACAAGCATTGTGTACCATCGAATTTA